CACAGGAGCGCCCACACTTGCAGATGATACCCACGTGACCTGGACCGGATGACTGGATGATCGGAGCTCAACCAGGAGAGGAAAGAAGAGGGAAAAAATAAAGAGTGAGCTGATACGATCTGATGAACTTGACCTATACCTATGGAGCAGCGACTCAAAAGAGGGAACAAATCCTCACAGCAAGAAACATTCAAACTCCCACCCTCCCCCCTCCCCCCCCCACACACACAGATTGGATGGAGAAGGGCAGCTTGGACATTGGATACTCAAATGGGGAGGGGAGGACTACAAAGGCAAGAAGTGACTGGCTTACAAACAAACATGTTGCTTCAGTTTGCTAAAACTTTTCAAATTGTATTCCATCAATTCTTGGAGTTTGTTTTTTGCCAATGCTTTCAGTACAGCTTGGACTTCTTTTTTGCAGAAGATATAATGATCTATGTTTTGTAAGTGTAAGTATCAGTCTGACTACTGTATGGAAAGTAGACTGTCTAGGACAAACTTGGAAGCTAGGGAGACTAAGTAGGAGGCCTGTGCAGTAGCTCAAGTGAATCCAAGATGGTAGCTTGAGCTAGCCTGTTGAGAACAGAGTTCTGAAATCGTTCTTAACTTGCTTGTTGTCTATCTAGATTCTTTCAAACAGAAGTTGTGTTAGGGTATAAAGACTTAGTTATTTATTGATGTATTCTTTGTGCCTACAGAAGTATGTTGTTGTTGTTAAGTGCTGTCAAGTCGATTTTGACTCATATCAACCCTGTGCAGGGTTTCAGAGGAGCAGCTGGTGGGTTTGAACCACTGACCTTATGGTTTGCAGTCCAGTGCTTATCCTGTAGTGCCACATCAGTATACAGCCGTATAATGTCATTGTTGTTAAAGTACCATGAAGCCATAGCAACTCTGTATAGGTTTTCTGAGGCTTTTAAATTTTTATGAGAGAAGAAAACCTCACTTTTCTCCCCATCACTTACGTTGTTGTTAAGTGCCGTTGAGTCGGTTTTGACTCACAGTGACCTGGTATATGGTTTCCAAAGAGCAGCTGGTGATTTTAAACTGCCAACCTTGTGATTTAAACCAACCTTGCGGTCCTGAATTTATCCTACAGCACTGAACCAGGACTCCAATACTTATTATAGGTTCTCAATAACTATTCTTTAAGTGACTGAATGTTGTGGTGACTTGGAACTAATTTTATGTTACTGATGTTTATTTGGTTTAAATTAAATTTTATTTTTTGTTTAAAGCATGAAACAGTTGATGGCTATAGAAGATATTTCACTCAAATCGTAGGGTATGTATCTAATATGCAAATTAATTTATTATAATTTTATATTAAAAGCCAGAAATAATTATTTTATACTTGGATTTTTTTCTTCTGACATATTATGTTGTTAATTACTCTTTTAGGTTCTTTGTGGTGGAAGATCACATTTTACATGTGACCCAAGGATTAGTAACCAGGGCATACACTGATGAACTTTGGAACATGGCCCTCTCAAAGATAATTGCTGTCCTTAGAGCTCATTCAGTAAGTCAGACAATTTGTGCTACTAAAATTTTAATTCAGTTACTTCAAGAACTTCTGAAATGTATAATGTCAGAGGAAAACTGCCTCCATCATTCTACATTTTTTGATAATTATTCTAAATTGGTAATGCTAGGCTTCTGTTTGCCTAGTAGTATCAGGCTGTAATTTTGCAACTGACTGGGGTTTCTCCAAACACTTTTAGTACAGTTTAACTGAAGATGAAGCATTAGGCTAGTCTCATTTGTCTTAACTGACCTCTTCATTAAATCCCTGAGCAGCACTGTGAAAAAAGGATTTTAAATTATCATTTCAAATGATTTGTTTCCAAAATAAATGCCACCATTACAACTCAATAGTACATGTTTTTTGATATTTAAAATTTGTTTTCAGCAATACACTACAATGATTAATTTCTTAAAAATAAGCAATTGTCAGGATTTGAACTTAATTTGAAATAATAACCTTTATGGATTAAGCCTTTATGGATTAAAGTAAAATGATCAATTGTTTTTTAATGTGTCTTTTCTGGGAACAGTTAAAGAGTGTCAGTAGTAGTAGTAGAATTATTTAAATTAATAATTGTTCAGTTTGCACCTTTTCTTAAGGCAATTTTAGTAGCTTACCTTAAAAAAAAAACTCATATTGTAATCTCTTAATATTTATTATAGTCTTATCATTATAATGTTGTTTTTAAGTGCCATTGGGTCTATTGAGATTTAAAATATTTAAGTATTTGGAGGGAAGATTGTTAACTTACATGATATTTAGACTATAGATATGCTGCATTCTTATTTGTCAGTAATGTAGACTCTAAAAAAACACCTTTTTATTGTGATTTGGGTGAACATTTACAGAGCAAATTGTTTTTTCATTTAACAATTCATATACATTTTATTTTGTGACATTGGTTGTACTCCCCACAGTATAACAGACTCGTCCAACTTCTGAGCTTTATTGCTAGGCAAATGCTGCCCTTTTGATCTTGTATGGTTGAGTGCTCTAAGGAGCTCATGTCTCCCTGGTGTTACTGTTCACCTTATAGATCTATTGTTTGGCTGAAAGTCGAGCTACTGGGGTTTGTTCAGTTAACAGGCTTGAATAGTGTCTAAGGGCCATAGTGTTGGGGGTCCACTAGTCAGACCAATAAGCCTGATTTTTTTTTTTTTATGATTTTAAATTTTGTTTCATATTTTTTTTTCCTACTCTATCCAAAACCATCTTTGTGATCCCTTTCAGAGTGGCCTGTATTGGTAGCTGGGCACCATCTAGTTCTTCAAGTCTCAGAGTCATTAGTCCATTATTCCTAGTTGTTTCCTTTGTCTTTGATTTTCTTCACATTTTTTTGGTGTTGTTTTGTTTTTTGGCTCCTGATAGGTATAGATGAATAGTTGCACATTAGATGACCACTCAAAAAATTTGAAGACTCCACTATTCACCAAAGTGGACTGTAGAGTGATATCTTTGTGGACTGCGCTCTGTCAGTTGACATTGGTGTCCCCTGAGATTCTGATCCTAAGTCTCCAGGCCCAGTGACTCAATCCTTCAAGGTGTTTGGTTATGGCTAAGAAGTTTTCCTAAGTTTGTCCCTTGCATCTACCACTCATTGGTCCGTGTGTTGTACTGTGGTGGTTTACCTGTTGCTATGAGGCTGAAAGCAGCCCATATGCATTCAGCCTGTGTCTCTTCCCATGTATCTACACACAGAACACTGTTGTGTTGTTGTTGTTGTTGTTAAGTGCCGTTGAGTCAGTTACGACTCATAGAGAGCTAAAGAGTTTCCCAGGAATGGTTGGTGAGCTTGAAACCGACTTCAGTCCAGTGCCTTCACCCACAGCACCACATCAGGGGGTGTCGGTATCCCTATTCACCTCTATCCCCTTTAGCCCTTGCAGACCTCTCTGTGTCTTCACATGTCTTCATCATTCTGCTAACCTCCCTCTTTTTGTACATTGCCCTCCCCATCACCTGAGCCAGCGTTTCTACCCTCTAGCCAGTGAATTACTCTCTCTTCCCTCCTGTCCCTGGTAACCATCAAAGAATGCTTCTTTTAGTTATACTGTAATCTTGACCAAAAAGAGAAGTGAAAAAATTATTCCTGACCCATAAAACTCGATGGCACCTAACAACAGTCCCCTGTTGCACTACTATTTATGGATATATTTTCAACATATATAAGTACATATGTAGAAATATTCTCTGTCAAATTTATACATGTTTATGACTTCACCCATTTTAAAAATTGTGTAATTTTTCACTTTATTGTTGAGTTATAAGAGTTCTTTAAATACTTTAGATACTAGTCCTTATTAGATATATTATTGTAAATGTTTTCTCTGATTCTGTAGATGTCTTTTTACATTCTTGAAAAGTTCATTTTGATGATAAGGAATGTAGGCTTTTGATATCACTAATTATCCAATGAATTACAGCTTTTTTTCTCATATTAATAAAGGACAGTACATTTTACCATGGTTTGTATTTAAATCAGTTCCGAATATTTAAAATTGTAGTGTTGTTGTTGTTAAGTACTGTCAAGTCAGTTCTCACTCATAGCGACCCTGTATGAGGTTTCCAAGGAGTGCCTGATGGGTTTGAACTGCTGAATTTGCAGTTAGCAGTCCAGTGCTTACCTACAGCATCATACCAGGAATAGACTCCTAAAAGTCAAACCCATTGACCTCAAGGAGATTCTGACTCTACAGGACAGGGTAGAACTGCCCCATAGGGTTTCTAAGACTGTAAATCTTTATAGAAGCAGACTGCTCTCTGTCTACTCTGGAGTGACTGGTGGGTTCGAACCACCAACCTTCCAGATAACAGCTGAGAACTTAACCACTGCACCACTTGTTAAGTGTTGTTGAGTTGGTTCTGACTCATAGCGACCCCTATACAGGGTTTCCGAGATTGTAAATCTTTACAGGAGCAGAAAGTCTCATTTTTCTCCCAGTAAGTGCCTGGTAGACTCAAACTGTTAACTTTGTGGTTAGCAGCCCAACGTGTAACCCAGTAAGTTACCAGGGATCCTTAAATTGTAATGTTATTGTTATGTGCCATTGAGTAGGGTCTTACTCATAGTGACCCTGTGGAGTGGCTGGTGAGTTTGAACTGCTGACCTTGTGGTTCAAACCTGCCTTGTGGTCCACTGCTTATCCTGAGGCACTATACCAGGACTCCAAATTATAATGTATTTATTAACTCCATGAAGTCATAACATATAAAGATAACATCACACTCAAAAAATTTTAAAATACTCTTAAATGGACAAACTGAATTTTACTATTCATTTGAAATTAATAATTCTTCTGTTTGAATTACTAATAAAATATTTTAAAATGTCATTCTTATACAGAAAAAAAATAATATGAGGGGCCTTGAAAGCTTGTGGAAAATGGAATGAAAAGATAATTGGGTTTGCCATGACCTTTTTGAAATGCCCTTGTACGTGTCTTTAATAATTGAAAAATTCTGGTACTAGTGATGGAAATTTGACATCAGCTAGTGGTAATGGTTGTACAGCATGGCTGATGTTATTGGTGTCACTAAAAATGCTGAATTTTCAAGTGTTGTGTTAGTTATATTTGTATAATTAAGAAAAAATACGTAGAAGCCATTTTTTCAGTTTAAGAAAAATATTTCCTTAAACTCTAAAGACTTTTAGAAGTACATACATCATATCTTTGAACAAAGATTAGTGTGTACACATTACAGGAAAAATATGTTTTCCATATAATTGAATTACTTTAAGCATGTCATGTTATGACTTTTCCCTGGGCATTTTCGGTGAATCGAGGAAGCCTGTTGTGAACCTAACTAAATTTATTATTAAAAAACAAAACATTTTTAGGTTTTTATTTCTTAGTCATGTTTTAAACAAATGACTTTTTTGTTTGTTTGTGTTTCCACCTCCAACTCTACCCAGTCTTACTGCACTGATCCTGATCTTGTTTTGGAGCTGAAGAATCTCATTGTAATATTTGCAGATACTTTGCAGGTGGGTGATATTCTTACAGTCAAGCAGTAATGATTTTGAGCACCTGAAGATATATAAAATAGAGACAACTCTAACTTGTCTTGATGTCCTTGATTTTATCCCACAACTCATCAGGTCTTCTGCTGTTAATATTCACTTCGTCCAATCTGTCCTCAGATGGTCTCTAAATCAGTTATGATATACTCAAGGTCTTACTTTGGCTCTTGTAAAGTTGTTTTAACTATCTGCAGCTTCACCTTTACATATGAACAATTAAGGATCTGTTCCATACTTGGCCTGTTGTTGTTATTGTGACTGGTAGTATTTAGTATTTTATTGACTATGCAAAGGTATTGAACTGCAGAGATCAAAACAAATTATAGATGAAAATGTAAACAATGGGAATTCCATAACAGTTACGTGTGTTTATGTGGAACATGTATATAAACCACGAGGCAGTCTTTAGAACACAGTAAGGACATTCTGCATGGTTTAAAATAAGGAAAGGTGTATTTCAGGGTTGGATCCCTTAACCATATTTGTTCAACCTGTGTGCTGAGCAAACAATGCAAGCATCTAGAATCTGTGAAGAACACAGCATCTGGATTGGAGCAAGACTCATTAACAACCTGCCATATGCAGATGACCAGCATAACTTTGCTTGCTGAAAGTGAAGCACACTTGATGCACTTACTGTTGAAGATTAAAGCCTGTAGCATTCAGTATGGATTACACCTCTATAAAGAAAACAGCACTCCTCACAATTGGATCAATAAGCAACACCATAAGAAACAGAGAAAAGATTAAAGGTGTCAAGAATTTCATTTTACTTGGATCCACAATCAACTCCCATGGGAGTAGCAGTCAAGAAATCAAACATTGCATTGTGTCAATCTGTTGCAAAAGATCTCTTTAAAGTCTTCAGAAGCAAAGATATCAGTTTGAGGACTAAGGAACACCTGACCCAAAGTATGGTATTTTCAGTTGCCTCATGTGCATGTGAGTGAAAGCTGGACAATGAATAAGGAAGACTAAAGAAGAATTGATGGCTTTGAGTTATGGTGTTGGTGAAGAATTTTTAATATACCATGGACTACCAGAAGAATGAACAAATCTGTCTTGGAAGAAATACAGCTAGAATGGTCCTTAGAAGGGAGGATAGGGAGATTTTGTTTCATGTACTTTGGATTTGTTATCAAGAGAGGCCAGTCCATGGAGAAGAACCTTATGCTTGAGGGTCAGTGAAAAGAGAACCTTCAACAAGATGGGTTGGCATAGTGGCTATTATCATGAACTCAAACACCTCAGAGCTTGTGAGGATGGTGCAGGACCGATCAGCATTTCCTTCTGTTGTATATAAGGTCATTGTGAGTTGGAACCAACTCTATATAACACCTAACAACAACAACAACAACAACAACAATTTGTTTTATTATATATTGATGGTAGCAAATTAGTAGTAACCAAATGTTTACTTATATATATGTATTTCCCAGATACCTTGGACTGTTTATACCACCTCCTTCCCAATTATGAAACTTGGACAGTACTGAGGAAATCATATCACCCTTTTAAATATTGGCCTAATTCAGTTTGAATGAAGTAGTTTGCAATTAACAAAAAGGTAGACTGTGTATGGGATAATGGAAGGAACCATGAACTAGACATTACAAGATACAAGTTCTGCTTTAGGGCAGGGGTCATGGAGTGTAAAGTCACTCAGACTCTGAGTTTATGTTCTGCCTCAGTTACTGACTAATTGTATGCCTTAGATTCTCACTTGTGAAAATGGCTTTATTAATTGCTAATTTGAGTTTTGAATATGATAATTTATATATATTATATGAAACCACATCATATGAGAGCTATTGTCACTCATTTTCTTATTTCCTAATTTCAGGCTTGCTAAGTGTTTTATGACAGTGAGCTCGTCACTTCATTAGGGCTTGGTTTTCTTATTTAAAATAAGATTTAAATGGAATTACCTTTTTTAAAACCCAGTGTTTTTGTGATTTTTCAAAACAAAATTTTAAGATGTCTCACTTCCCCCTCACCTTCCTTAATCTGATATAATAAAAAAATTGACTACATTTTCTTTTCATGCTTAATGTGTGGAATTTTAAAGTTGTAAATCGCATTTCATGAAGAATAGACTAACATTTTCCTTAGTAAGATAATAGATGTTACTTACAAAGGGTCCTGTAGTCTACAACATTTGGGAAAGACCAAATGAAATAAAATATGTTTCTCTGCCAAGACCCTGGGGTCCTGGTGTGGTGCTGTAGAATAAGCACTATACTGCAAGGTTGCTTTGAACTGCAAGGTGGAAGTTCAAGCTCACCAGCCACTTCTTGGAAACCCTATACAGAGTCGCTATGAGTCAGAACCGACTTGGCAACACTTAACAACAACAAAAACAACCAAGAGCCATTCTCAAAATAACTTAAAACCATAAATTTATTTACAGATGGGAGGTGACTATGTAGCATTTCCCTAATACATTTCCCTAATCATTTTCTCCTGTAGAACATCTTTTAGACTTAGAGATTCATATAATTTGGGGAATGCTTTATCATAAGTCTTTCCATCATAGAATAATTATCTACTTTATTCTTAAATTCAAGGAGATGATTCCATAAGATCCTTTAGAGAATTATTTTATTGAGTTTTATCATTGTTAACTTGTATGGCTTATAATGTACTGTCAGAATATTGTAGTTTGGTTCAACTCCCCCCCCTTGCCCCTTAACATTCATGACAGTATTTCTATAACACCAACCTCTCGGCACAAGATAACCTTTGGCAAGTTTTTATTTTCTGGTAAAAAAATGTTTACTAAGCATTTTATTCTCTTAGATGTTACTGTTTATGTAATTGTTATCTTAATTTCTTGATTTTGAACACATTTTGAGAAGTCCTGGTGTGGTGCTATAGGATAAGCACTGAACCACAAATCAAAAGGTTGACAGTTCAAACCCACTAGCCACTCCTTGGAAACCCTAGAGGGTCACTGTAAGTCTAAACTTACTTGATGGCACTTAAAAACTAAAACCAATGCATTTTAAAGGTTCCCTGGTAGCACAATGACTAAGGGCTTAGCAGCTAAACTGAAAAGCTGGCAGTTCAAACCTACTCAGCCATTCCTCAGGAGAAAGACCTGGTGATGTACTCCCGTAAAGATTCCAGTCTAGAAAGTCTATGGGACCATCCTCCTCAGCCATAAAGGGTTATTTTGAGTCAAAATTGACTCAGTAGCACCTAACAACAACTATAGCAATATATTTTCAGGCTAACACTGTAATCTTTTTTTATGTGTGTGAACTGAGTGACAGTTTACCGATAAGATCAATTTTACATTAAAAAAATCATATGCTTTGTTTCATCTCAATGATTGCAATCCCCTCCATGTAACAGCAGTTGTCCCTGTCTTCCCTGTAGTTATCCATCTACAAATATCTTTCAAACTCTTACATATTTATTGGATATATAAATAGATATGTATCCTACTCTTTCTCTCATACCCATTCAGCCTGTGTCTCTGTCACATAGAACACTATTGTTCCAAGGTGGTGTATAGATCAATATTTATCTCTATCCCCTTTAGCCCTTGCATACCTCCCTGTGTCTTCACCTTATCTTCATAATTCTACCAACCTCCCTCTTGTATATTGCTCACCTGAGCAAATGTGTCTACCCTGTAACCAGTGATTTACTCTCCTCTTTTTCCCATCCCAGGTAACCACCAGAGAATGTTTCTTTTAGTAATACTGGAATCTTGACTAAAAATAGAAGTGAAAAAATTATTCTCCATAAAACTCTTTCTTGATCCTTTCTTATCTAATGGCATCTAGAATGAAGTCAAAGGTTATCTGTTTTCCATACTGTCAGAAGGGCATACATGTGACATAGTAATCATTTCCAAATTCTTCAGTGTGCTCATTATTTTTTAATGAATATTTTTATATTCTTGACTTAGTGGCTTTTATTTATTTATTTATTTATGTTTGTATTTTAGGGTTATGGTTTTCCAGTGAACCGACTTTTTGACCTTTTATTTGAAATAAGAGATCAGTACAGTGAAACACTGCTTAAGAAATGGGCTGGAGTTTTCAGGTTTGTTTAAGCTGTGTGCCTTAATGTTATAAATAAGTGAGTCACATGTTCCAATAATTGATTTTGCATTTAACCATTAGCTTAATCACCAATTTTAATTGTACTCACTTTCATTTCTAAAATGACATCTGTTCCAAGGTTATGCCAGTTACTTCTTGTTCTGGAATTTATATTCAGCAAATGATGAGATACTTGTAAGGCTGTGTGTTCAAAGATATTTAGTAATAGAGTTTACTGCTTTTAAACTTTGATAGAGTACTATTTTTACAGATAATTAAATTTTAAACATCTCAAATCATCTAAGTAGGAAAATCACTTTTGCTTTTATATCAATTGTCTCCCAAGCATGAACTAAAATATTTGAATTGCTATCAAAAGAGAAAATCACCTCTTCCCCATTCATTTAAAAAAATTAAAAATTTTTCTTTCTGCCTGTCTTTGAAAGGTAGATGTTATCTTCAGTATTGAATAATTAAAACTTGTCTGTTTCCATGATATAATTTTAAATCTGACTACTGCTATAGATTATTTATGCTTGGTTTCCCTCCACTGTATTGTGAGCACCCATGTTTTATTTGTTTGTGTATTCTTGATTGTCTAGCTCTAGTACACGGCTTTGCATATAATAGGAACTCAGTAAATGTTTATGGAATTCAGTTTAGTAAAAGGTTACTTTTAAGACTTGTTAGGTGCCACTGAGTCAGTTCTGACTTACAGCAACCCTTTGCACGGCAGAAAGAAACACAGCCCTGTAACATCCTCACAATCAATCCTATGTTTGAATCCATTATTGTAGCCACGATGTCAGTCCATCTCACTGAGTGGCTTCCTCCTTTTCACTGACCCTTTACTTTGCCAAGCGTGATGTTCTTCTCCAGGGACTGGTCCCTCCTGCTAACATGTCCAAAGTACATGAGACAAAATTTCCCTATCCTCCCTTCTAAGGAGCATTGTGGCTGTACTTCCTCTAAAACAGATGTGTTTGTTCTTCTGACAGTCCATGACATAGTCAGTATTCTTTGCCAACATCATAATTCAAAGAAATCAGTTCTTATTCGGTCTTCCTTATTCATTGTTCAACTTTTTTGAAAATACCATGACTTGTGTCAGGTGTACCTTAGTCCTCAAGTGACATCTTTCTGTCACTTAAAAGAGATATTTACATCAGATTTGTCCAGTGCAATACATCATTTGATTTCCTAACAGCTGCTTCCATATATATTGATTATAGATCCAAGTAACATGAAATTCCTTATCAACTTTAATCTTTTCTTAGTTTATCATGATGTTGCATATTAGTTCAGTTGTGAGGATTTTTGTTTTATGTTGACGTATAATCCACACTAAAGGCTGTATGTAGTCTTTGATCTTCATCAGTAAATGCTTCAAGACTTCTTCATCATGCAAGGTTGTGTCATGTGCATATCACAAGATGTTAATGAATCTTCCTTAAATCCTGATGTTGCCTTCTTCTTCACATAGTCCAGCTTCTTGGATTATTTGCTCAGTATACAGCTTGAATAAGTATGGTGAAAGGATACAACCCTGATTGACACACACCTTTCCTGATATTACACAATGCAGTATCTCCTTGTTCTGTTTGAGCAGTTGCCTCTTGGTGTATATACAGGTTCCTCGTGTGCACAAGTAAGTGTTTTGGAATTTCCATTCTTCACAATATTATCCATAATATGTTATGAGTCACACAGTTAATTACCTTTGCATAGTTAGTGAAACACAGGTAAACATCTTTCTGATATTCTCTGCTTTCTGCCAGGATCCATGCATATCCTCTTCTGATTCTGGCTTGAATTTCTGGCAGTACCCTGCCAATGTAGTGAAGACAGGCTTCTAAACTCAAGGTCAGTAGTTCAAAACTACCAGCTGTTCTGTGGGAGAAAGATGAGCCTTGGAAACCCTATACAGGGTCATTATTATGAGTTGGAACTGGCTCCATGGCACACCACCACCACCCTGTCAATGTAGTAGTACTATAACCATTTTTGAATGATTTTCAGCAAAATCTTCCATGCATGTGATATTGTTCACTAATCTGTACTTTCTGTTAGATTGATTACCTTTCTTTAGAATGGGCCTGAGTATGGATCTCTTCCAGTCAGTTGGCCAGGTAGCTGTCTTCCAAATTTCTTGGCAAGTGAGTACCTCCAGTACTGCATTTGTTTGCTGAAACATTTCAAATGGTATTCTGTCAATTCTTTGTTTTTCACCAATGCCTTCAGTGCAGCTTGGACTTCTTCCTTCAGTTCTATTGGTTTTTGATCATGAGCTACCTCCTGAAATGGTTGAACATCGACCCATTCTTTTTAGCATAGTGACTCTGTGTTTCCTTCTTTTAATGCTTTCTATGTTCAGTATTTTATCCATATAATGGAGTCCTGATGTGGTGCTGTGGGATGAGCACTGGTCCATAAAGTCAGTTTGCACTGCAAGGTCAAACCTACCAGCCGATCCTTGGAAACCCTATACAGGTCACTATGAGTTGAAACCTACTTGACGGTATTTAACAAACACCAACAACAATCCTTTAGTATTGCAACTCAAGGCTCAAATTGTTTCTTCGGTTCTTTCAGCTTGAGAAATGCCATGTGTGTTCTTCCCATTTGGCTTTTTAGCTTCAGGTTTTTGTACATTTCATTATAATACTTTGTTCTCTGGAACTGTCCTTTGAAATCTATCAGCTCTTTCACTTCATCATTTCTTCCTTTCACTTTACTCCACATTCAAGAGCAAGTTTCAGAATCTCTTCTGACCTTATTTCCTGTCTTTTTAATGACCTTTTGTTTTCTTCATGTGTGATGTCTTTGCTTTCATCCCACAAATCTTCTGGTCTTCAGTCATTAATGTTTAGGGTGCCAAATGTATTCTTGAAATGATCTCAAAATTCAGGTGGAATATACTCACGGTCATATTTTGGCTCTAATGAACTTGACTTAATTTTTTTCAGCTTCAACCTGCACTTGCAATGAGCAATTGCTGGTGTCTTCCACAGTTGGCCCGTAACTTTGTTGTGCCTAATGATATTGAGGTTCTCTGTCATCTCTTTCTACGAAGGTGTTCAGTTTGACTCCTGTGTATTTTATCCTGTAAGGTCTAAATGTATAGTTAACTGCTTATGTTGTTGAAGAAAGGTATTTGTAATGACTAAGTCTTGCAAAATTCTATCATGCGGTTTCCATGGACATTTCTATCACCAAGGCCGTTTTCTAACTGTGGAGCCTTTATCTTTGTTTCTGCCTTTAGCATTCCAATCACCAGTAATTTATCAATGCATCTTGATTGTATGTTTGATCTATTTAAGACTGTAGAAGTTGGTAAAAATCTCTTTAATTTCTTCATCTTTGGTGTTATTGGTTGGTGCATAAATTTGAATAGTAGTCATATTGACTGGTCTTTCTTTTAGGTG